ATTGACCGTATCGTTTTTATTGAATCCACTGAAGCTGCACTTGCACCAGTAGGGCAGCTTACACCCGAAGTGTGCACTGTGGCTCCAGCCTGGGTCTGTGATGGGCAGCTGTGGGTGAATTTTGTGTGTGCAGTGCAAACTCAAACTTGCCAATGCACTGCAGTAAGGCAATGGAGCTCTAAAACAAAGTAGAAACAGTGTCAGTCAGATGTAGATGATGCACCTCATCAGGAGCTTGTTTTACTAAGAGATGCAATAACAGTTTCACAAACACACATTTTGCTAATTAACAAAACTACAATCCAAAACTGTTTTAGTGCAACTCTACCAGACACTCCACAGCTGAAAGACCACAGACGATGAGGCCAGTCTGTTTTCTCCACAGTCTGACCTCCAACTTCACAACAACTGTAAAGCCAAACACTCCTGACAGCGTGAGCTCACTGAAGTCTGCGCGGCGAGCTGTTGTCATTGGAGCAAAAACCAAGTTCACCAAAATCAAGTCAAGCTTCAGTGGCAGTGAAAAACAGTTAAACAGAGTCCAACTGTAAATGGAAGTCAGCATTTATTGTGTTACTTTAACAACTCGACTTCATCGTTGTTTATTTCCACAGCTGTAATGACTTCATTTGAACACATACAGACTTAGTACTTCCGTAGATAGTCTGCTGTATTTTAAGCGTGTGAGACATTTGTGACTGAATAAATACGTTTGTAATTATTTTGTACGGCTTTATTAAATATGCTAAAAAGAATCTACAAAAGCCTCCCGGCTGGTTCGGAGGGAGGCTTTTCACTGCTTCACACCCTGACTTCTCCTGGGCTCCTCTTCCACTACAGCCTCGGCGTCTTCCCCAGGGTCTGCTTCTTCTTTATGGGCGTGTGAAGGAAACCAGGTTCCACTGGTCGAGTCGGTGTCGCCCACCCCTTGCAGCTCCCGGGGTCCAGCGCCCAGTCGGAACAGCGTGGGGATCTGACCTAGGATGGGGTTACTCTGTTGGAGGCCAGAGATCCACTGATTGAGGGTAGCCTGGTCCCCCTGACTGGTCATGCACATGGCAAAGACTGGACCTTCATCCACTGGATAGACACACAGACACACATCATCTATGTTACACCCTGGAAGTGAGGGGTTGTGGTCAACAGCAGTGATGCCATATCTTACAGTCTTCCACATCGAAGCTCTCATCGTCCCCCAGGTCGCGGTCCAAATCCAGGTCTAGCTGCAGAGGATACATGAGACACCTCTCTGGGTCATACGGCTCTTCTATCTGAGGGGAGGGAGGAGGATTTGTTTGTAATTTAATTCACAAAGTTTCACATATTCTACATTCATTATACAGAGTCTACAACGAGGGGAACACACAGACGGTCACTGCAGAAAAGGCCGGCTGTTTGCAGAGGACAGCCAGCTGAAGAAGCTGGGAGAGCTTCACAGGGAGTGGAGTGAGGGTGGTGTCAGTTCCCCCAACACCAGCATGCACAGATGTCTACAGGAAAGCAGTTGCAACGGCTGCATTCCTAACATCTGAGTGTATTAATGAACGCACCAAGCTGGACATTTCTGTGATAGAAATCCTGTTTTTCATGGATCTTAGGAAATATTCTATAATCTGAGATTCTGGTTTTGTGACTTTCCTGAGCCATAAGCCACAATCATTAGAACTCAAACACTCTGTTATATGATCATCACACAGCACCTATTATTTGTAATGGTTAACAGTAATGTTTGCCCACCTTCTCTTCAGGTGGGGCAGGGTCGGCTCTGAGGACGTAGTAGTAAACACACGTCTTCCTCATCCACAGAGGGAACGGGCCCTCCACGAACACGGGCCTGCACGGGTTGTGCTTAGCGAGCGCTTCCATCTGGCTGGGGCTCTGGATGCCTGGTGCAAACACAGGAAAGAAAGAACAAATATGGAAATGATGCCATTATTAGTATTTTTAACAATCTATTTCTGACTAAGACACAGAATGTAGTTTCAAGTCATCCATACCTACTATATGTGGAAGTGTGACTTCAGCACCGCTGTCTGTGATGTCTGTGCAGGGCAGCTTGTGAGGAGAGCACACAGTTTGGTAAATACAAGATTTACATCTGATGACAAAACACAAAGTCAGTCAAACGATTTTTACACACAAGTTTGTCTTAGTTAGACCTGAGAAACTAAATGACTGTAACACAAAAACTTGTACTCGCAATCATGTGGAGTTTTTTCTCCACTTTCCATAAGCTCAGTTTAAAAGCTTAAGAAATGTGGAACACGAGTCTGTGGTTGACAGCTGTGGAAAAGAGGTTTCCAGACTCGGGTCTGAAACATTCAGCGTATTAGCTTTAAAGATTTTAGAGTTACTTTTGTTATTCTTTTAAAGAACAAAGCCAGGCTAGCTGTTCCCCCCTGTTTCCAGTCTTCATGCTAAGCTAGGCTAATCCATGCATATACCTGGTAGACGGTCACTTTTGCATCCCAGTCGTTTGCCATGCGTGTGAGGCTGAAGCGTGCCAGGTCTACTGGGTCTTCAGGGAGTTGCTTGGGAATAGGAAAGGGGTTTGCGTGCATGAACCTGGGGAACCAGTACATGATACGCTGGTACTTTCTCATAGGGTGGGTCTTTTCTCCAAAGATCTGGACCAGCAGCACTTTGGTCTCAATGTTGGGCATGATACCTGAAGCACAGACACTGACACTTAGACACAAAAACAGTGTACAGAACACCTCAAGATTCTCAACAACTCCCACAATACTATAGACACCCACCATAACTCTCCATCTGCTCCAGGAGCTGCACTCCACACTCCTGCTGACGGGGATAGTGGTTGAACATTCTCTGGATAAAGTTTTGCGGCACGAATACCTCTTTAGGAAAAACATCCAGCAGCTTGTTGTAGACAGTGAGGTCTTTCTCCACCCCGAATTCGGGCATCTTCTTCAGAGCAGCATAGATGAACTCCACATGACCTCGACGCCTTATGTCTCTCTTGGTGTAGACGTCTATCACTTTGTTAAACGTGGCCTTGGTTTTGGTTTCTTTGGCGACCTGCTCAAACAGATCATCGTGGGCGACCAGAGACTTGTCCCTCGTCTTGTCCTCTTCCTGAACGAACCGTGCAGGCTGACTCTTGGTGCACGCTGGGCTGCTGTGGAAATGCCTCAACACCTAAAAGCAACATGTTTTTGTTATGAACGCATATAAAAGATTCATTCATATGATCTGATTAGTTATTGATTAACACCAAACAAAGAGTCGACTGCCAGCTGCCTTTCTCTGCGATTATATCAGTGCTGTGTATGAGCTTAAGTCTGGTCGCTGCTAAAGCTCACCTCGCGCTGTGGGCACTGCGAGCCGCCGAGCAGACTCGAGGAGTGTAACCGGAATAGAGCGCCGCTGTCTCCAGCAGCAGCAGGCAGCCGCCTCCCTGCGTGGCTGAGCAGCCGCAGAGACTTGAGCTGATGCAGGCAGCGGCTGCCCTTCATAGTCGAGCCATCACGGCGAGTGTCTGAGAACAGAAGTGCACACGGACGTGAAGCTCACACGTTCACTCTTCGGTGTACCTCATCCAGCTGTGAATATTTGTACAGAACGATCAAACTTTACATTTCACATTTTGTGAAGTTTAGTTCGTCAACTGCTCAAACGTTGTAGTAATGATAGTTATTATTATCACCCCAACATGTATAACCATGTTAATACTGACCTTTAGTGCCGACAATCGGACAAGAATAGTCTCCTTCAGAAGGCGCTGTCAATGGACGCTACCATGTTCAAAGGCCATTACAGCATTCCGGTCCGACACGGGTTTGCTTCCCCCAAACAATAGAAACAGTGACAGAAATGATAGTTCCGTAAAACCGCAAATAAGCGCAGTAAATATTCTCCATTAAAATGCAGGAAAATGATTTCTAAATCAATGCCATTCTTCGCGCTGTAGCTATGATTCTTCAAACTATTAAACAAAAGTTGAGAAAAGAGAAAGCGAACTATTTTTTATCCTTTGTCGTGCAGTATAATTTACGGTGACCATATTTTGATTTGCAACAAAGAGGACACTTGTGCCAGTCACGAAGAACTTTAATAATACTGTATGAAACTTTAACATATTTAAACGATGCCTTCTCTGTGCGGTTAATGAATGGTGAAATAAAAAAAGTTGTAGAGGCTTTTACAAGTCAACAAGAGACACTTCTTAAGGCAAGAGTCGCCACTTTGCAGCCATCGTCGAGCTGACAATTAATGCAACACTAAAATTCAAATACAGTCACAGTGACATAACGTTGCATTTATAGAATCGCTGGTCAAATGCAATATAAGCAAAACAACAACAAACAAACAAAATCAAAACTAAAAGATCTTACCCTTAAAATAAGATTTAAAAAGGCCCCCGGTGATGTTTCTGGCACCATCCTTTCTGTTGCCATTTCCAGTGTTTCCGTGTGTGTGTTTTTAATGTGTGATGTCTTTACCTTTAAGGTGTTCTATATAAAATAAATAAATTACCTGTCTTGCAGGTGTCTTTATGACGTCGGATCACTCTAAAAATGACATTTTTAACGTCAATTAGACTTTCATACTGGATCAATAAAGGATATATAAAAGTCACTTTACCAAAAACTAATTGCAGCTTCTACCTTGTGACAGGAATATTGTGCGTGGTCAGGATGACTGGATATCATTCGTGAGGGATGCATTTGATATACGTTTCATTTCTTATAGGCCAACAAGTTATTTATAGCAGTTTGAATGCAGGCAGTCACTTTCTGGCACAGGTTTCAGGGCTTGTAGTGCGCACCGCCGCCACGAGATGGAAACAAATGCTCGTCCTGTAGCTGCCAGGCTGCAGAGGTGCAGCCGTAAGAAGCTGCTTTAAGAGTTCCGTGAGATGTTCTGGTTTACGGACACTGAAATCCTCTTTCCTGACTCAGTCTGACTGAGGCGAATATCTGGCAGCACTTTTAGCCGTACCTGGTGCCTTCCCGCCAATAGTGTCAAGCTAGCTATAACGAGGGGCTACACTTCCGGAAGCGGTTTTCAGTCTGTGGTGTGATTGTTTTTAGTTTTTCATTTTATATAAAGTAATTTCGAACTATATTTTATATTTAAGCTTGATTTCCTTATAAGTACTCCCCCCTCACACACACACACCCACGCGTTTAATAAACTATTGCGCTTTATGTTGCGGAAAATTCCGCGTTTCCGGTATTCTTAGACCTGTCATCGACTCAAGTCTCCAGAGTGTGGGCTGTGATTCTCCTCTGTCAGCATGGAAAACACACCTTAGTGCACGCTGCTCCTCTAAAAACAGGAGCCGCCGTCTAAACCTGGGATTATGGATTCCTCTACCAACAGTCTGGGTGAGTGCAGCAGCGACAGTGGTCCTTTGTGTTTTTACTGACAGCATTAGCCGTGGAAACTTCTCTGTCCGTGCTCGGATCAGATAATCGCATCGCTCTCAAAGGAACGCTGTCAAACAGCTTCAAAGATGGCAATCTTTGGAGAAAACTAGCATACACCGCACCACACACGCTTTACACAGTTTAACAAACGCGTAAACCCTCGAGCTTTGTTCGGAGGCTTTCAGTCACACCAAAACTTCGTAACTGAACACTTAGATGCAGTTTTTCTTGGCAGCGCTCGTCGCCGCATTCTTTGCTGTCTTTTATTGCAAGCGGATGGTCGGCGGAACATCCGCTTTGACTTTCAAAGGATTTTTGCTGCTTAATTCTGGGCTTTTTAACATTTCTCCATGTTTTGTTCAGTCACTCGTCCACACGTTAGCGCAGACAGGCAGCAGTCTCAAACGTCGATGGAGAAACAGGACGTTACAGCAGCGCTGTGTCTGTGTAGGTGCGTGGGACGGGCTGCAGTCGTTTACATTATTTCTGTGGCATTCAAATAGTTGCCTCAAGTCTGGCCTGAGTGATCAGGACACCTGGAGGCGTGCCTGCAACCACTTTGTGTCGCAAACTGAGTTGTGTGCTGCTGATTCCATGTTGTCACGCGTGGGTAGTTTGAGCATCAACATTGAGACCACCGGCAGAGCGAAGACCGCAGCAGCCTGTGTCCATGCACAACAGTTCATCCATATATCAGACGAAGCACCAGCTGAACATCCTTCTCTCCACTGTGGGCTGGGTGAAAAAGCTCCACCCTGTCTGTCCCCACAATACTTACTATTATGCTGAAACTGGAACTTTGATAGCGGCCCAGTGCTGCTTTTGATTCACATGTGTATACAAACATCCACACCCAAGCCTATCTTACATACTCTGGCTTCTTGAAAGCTGGTGGGCCGCCAAAGCGCTGGGGAACAGCAAATATATTAATATCACATGGGGAAGCTTGAGCAAGGCAGCTGTGACTCAGCGCTGCAGGAAGCTTCAACACACAGCCATTTCTCTTAATGAAGACCTGCGTTACGTTGGTAATCATGTTTCATAAACGAAGATGGTGACACGTTACCTGCCTCGGAAAGCTGCGTGAGGTGTGCTGGAGCTGGAGAGTTGCTTGTGCCTCGGTGTCAGCTGGCCGGCTTACGTAATATGAGTTTGTAGGGATCAAATAACTGCTGTGTTTAGCAGTAACATGCAGATACTGATACACAGTATTTCCTCCACTGTGTGGTGGACTGTATGCCAGCCTTAAAGTTGAAGCACATCTGACATTGGGTTAAAGGACTGGCTGATATCTTTGCAAAGTAGTCATAGTAATGTTTTAGGGAAGAGCGAGCAAATGTGCAGTGTGTGCAGATTCCAGTGCCACACAAAGAGGCTTTACTGCTTTTCCAACAGTTTACTTCTGTTAATGGCTATTTGAGACTTAGCAAAACAAGACTTTAAAGATACTGCCTTCAGTTTTAACACTGACACCATTTGTTAGATGTTAAAAATAAAGATAATATATCCATATTGAAAATACAAAGTAAGCCTGCTATCTTACTGCCTTTCTTCTGGTTCATAACACCAGTCTTGTGTTTTGTAATTGTTGTGTCCATGACTTGTATCAGTAATGATAACTGCACAAGTTCAATCTGTGCAGAAATGTGGAAAAGCATGAAAAACTCCTCAGATTTTCAAACTGCGTTTACTGAGTCACTGAATGAACTTAGACACATGCTGTGTGTGTGAGCACAATGCAACCAGTGAAGTATCACGCTCTCTTAAGTAACTGCATAACTGTAGACGCTACAAGAAACTCCCCGGCTCAGAGTAAGGAATGGAAGACCTTTGTTTCAAAGGACAGATGTGCTGTAGTCTGTAGTCTACGGCTCAGGAGGTAAAGTTTACTAGTTTTCACATCCTCCTGACTAGTCTGAACTTCCATAAAAGGTCACAGCTTATGCTAACAGGGTCAAATCGACCAGACCAGAAGAACTGTATAGAAATCCAGTGAATGTGGGATTTATGTCTGGACGTAACGCAGCGTTACCTTGCTTACATTTGCAGTTATCCTAGTAAAGGTGGGGGGTCGTACCATTAACCCCGACTGACTAACACTTCTTTGTGACCCACACAGACCATGTACAGTCGCACACTTAAAGGAGCTAAAGTGCATAAAGTGCTAAGCTCTTCAGTATAGATGAGGACAGTATCAGTGAAACGCTTCACTGACACAGACTTGTGCTTTGTTGTGGTAATTGTCAGCCTCTCTTTTACAGACTCCATCTGTGTTTCTTTGTCATGGTTTGCTTTGGTGTAAAAGCAGCTGCTGCTAATGCTGGAATAGCAACTTTTCCTACAGGAAGTGACATCACTCAGTGTTTCAAGCGTCTGAAGAGGCATGCCTTCTTCTGTCTATTTGTATTTGTATAACTTGAGAAGAGAAATTGAATTACTGCTTACGGATTACTGTAAAAATGTGTGCATACCCCACTTACACAGCTGGAAGTTAAACAGCTGGAAGATGTGAATGTGGTCACATTGCTGTAGTGCATAAGACAAGAAATACACACCTTCACACTCAAACGAGCATTATAAGAGCCGTCAGAGGACTAACACCAGTTACTGTTACTGTTAAACCCAAATGCTGTTTATACTGCAGCACTTAGACACGTGCTTTAATAGAATTAGAGCCGCAGAATCGAGTCTATTCATACAGCACTTAGCACTTAGTCAGCGGAGCTCGTTATCTTTGTCAGCTTGCTGCTGTAAACATCCTGAGAACAGGAGTTATATTTGGTGTATATACGGTAAGGGTTCAATTAGTGGAACCAGAGTGGATTCATCATTTCAGCGTGTTGTGGTTTTGGCTCGAACAGCTGTCTAGGAGTGCTGTGAGGATTTGGGACGTGTTGCAGTTGTGCAGAGATCAGCAGGAAGTTGCATCAGCAAATGGCAGCTTTTTCAGTGTTTTTCCCAGAATGTCGTAATAGTGCTTCTTTTCAGAAGAACGCACGTGCTGTTCTGCTGCAGCCTGGAGGCAAACACTCTTTCTTCTGTCTCAGGGCTGGAAGTTAAAGCTCACTGCTTTCTAACAGACACTGAAATGTGTCTGTAGCATTGAGGGAATGCTGAATTCTGTCTGGTCAGTTTAAAGATTGAAGTCGGGGGAATCAGAGTGTTTTCACTGGCGCCTTGTTTTGATCGCACCTGTAAATCAGAAGGAAACCAAAGCGGCTCAAACTTCAGTCAGTGCTGATAATAAATCAGTCAGTCTCACTCAGTGAGATCATCATGTGGCAGAGATTTATGCTCCATGGCCGTCGGTGGCTTACAGTGTTGTTATCTGTATGTAGAGCGAGCACGGACTTGCACTGTATTTGTGTCTGCTTCAGCGAGGCCTGACGGTTAAGATTGTGGCAGCGTGTTGTGAGCTGCATCATCTCCTCTGGCTTTTTGACAATTACTTTTTCCATGGTTTTATCCTTTAAGATAGCAAGGCTGGCTTAACTGGTTTTGGGGCCCCTGCTGCAGTTTGTGAGCACAGTGTAAACCAATGAATCCACCCATGCAACAGTAATCAAACCAGCATGAGTTGTCTCCTGTTAAATCATCGTCCTTTGGATCTTTATGCTGTGCTTATACCGTTTAATGGTGGCATAGTGTTACTGAAGTGGATGTGCAGGCGCGCATAAAGACTGTATAATGTGTATGTGCTGTTAGTGGGGTGGGCTGGGCGACTTTCCCGATTTTATATGAACTTTGTACTTTTAACTTGGATATTGTTTGTATTCGTTTCTTTTACTAGGAGCTAAATTTGGTACGAGGTGTCTCGTATCTGCTGAGATCCGCGCTCTCGTTTGTGGTTCATGACGAATAAAAAGTAAAAATGAAATGAAACGGGGGTGTCAGGCTCAGTTTCACTAAGGACCACATGGGGAACTGAGAGTCGTCTACACGTCAGTCCCGCCGACATGCTCCAGGATCATCTAAATGCCGTCTCAACCGCTTGTTTCATGTCCCTGAACCAAACGGAGTGTCGCCGTCTCAGTGACGGGAGGCTCGGAGAAATATTTAGTTATTAAAGTATAAATACTTTGTCTTCTGTGCACTCAGTGCTGGAAACTATTCCTTGAAAACGTGTTCTCACACCCCCACCTGTGAACGTATCTGCCTGCAGCATCAACTTCCCCTTGTATGCCACCTTTTTTTCCACCAGCTTGTTGGCTTCCAGCTGCAGTGTAGAAGCGCCTGTCGTTTCGGTGCATTGTGTGCACGAGGCACAGTTTTGTGTGAAGGCTACAATCGGTTAGTTTTAATTCTAGTCCTTTCATAAATTCTCTTACTACAACCGCAGCAGAGTAGAGAGTACTCATTCAGGTGCAGGGCGAACATGCAAATGCCACACAAAGGCACCAGCCTACAGAATCAAACCCACAACCTTGTTTCTGTGACGTGACAGCGCTAACCACTGCATCACGGCGTCATCGGGCGTGTTTTTGAGATGCTCCCTGGAGATAAACACAGGAGTGAGAGTCAAAGTGAAGGACTGTAAAGGAGGTCAGCTCGTCTCATGTGCAGTCCTGGTGAGCCGTTTGCAGCCACACGAGCTGTGCAGTCAGTCACATGTGTGCAGCGGCGTGGTGGTGGGGTGGGGGGAGTGTTTCTCACAGATGGTGCAGCTCTCTGTTTCACTTCTCAGATGGGACCTCGGCACTTGTGCAGGGGCGTACAGGATGTTGAGCAGCGGCAAAGCATCTAAATCAAAGTAGAGAACTACAGACTGAGCGCTGTGTGTCTGTAGGTGGCTGAGGTCATGATGCTGCATCCTTGGGTGACAGGTAGAAAGAGTGGGCGGGCGCTGTGAGAATATGTGTTAGTCAAACGAATGCAGGACGCACGTACTCTTTAACTTTAAGCACATGCATGCAGATAAGCAGCTAAGACGTTTATGGGCTTATTAAGGACTAAAGCAACGTCTGGAGAAGAGCAGTAATCTAGATTTATAGTAACATGTTTCATGTAGATAAAAGTAAAACCGGAGCTTTAGTGGCTAATTATAGTTGCTGGGTCCTTAAATGACCCTGAGCCTTTTACGAAAGACGTCATCAGTGGAGCAAATTCTCTCTTTTCTAACAGTGGTGGATACGGCTGATAGAGGCTCGTGCTGTGTTTCACCAACTATTTTTCTTTTCTTAAATTGATTCCCTTCTTTTTCTCTCGAAACCTGAATCATAGGTTAATTATAACCTGCCGAGCTTGGTTCACATCCTCCTCTTTTTCTCCTACTGAACGCTGCTGCTGGACTAGAGCTGCTATCACGTCCAGTAACTACTGTGTCACTGGGCTCTGTTCCCAAACGTTCCCATGTTGAGAAACCCTGTGACGTGTATGAAGAGACACGTGAAAAAGGCTTTTGTCCAGCATTGCCGTGTCATTTCCTGTCAGTCGTTCTGTCTGCTGGCACATGTTGAGCAGTAACGAGATGTCAGCAAATATCCTCACCTTGATGTAATAATGATATTCAGCCCTGAAATGTGTGGAATGTGCAAAAACGTTTGTTTGTTCACATAACGCACATTCAGATTGCTCAGTGGACATCTCCAGCCATAACTCAGAAACTGAGAAGTCCACGCAGAGATAGAAGAAATTCCAAAAGTGGTGACATAACCTGCTTTTGCACTTCCACGCTACGACAGACGGACTGTGAATAGTAACCAGAATTCCAGTATAGCTACACGAATCTAATGTGGATCAAATTCCAGCTTCCCCTGAGCTGCTGCCAAACAGCTATGAGTCATCCCGTCTTGGCTTCCATGGGAAAAATGAAAAGAAGAAAACCAGAGTGGAAGTGGAGTACGATCATTTATGCAGATGTGTAATTACGTTGTGGTGAGACCTCTACAGTAGCAAGGCTTGTATCTGTTTTCTGATGCAGTTGTACGTTGTGAGATTTTCTGTGATGACCAATAGGAGCACTGATTATTCTGTTTTATCCTGTCAGTCCAGCCTCCTGACTGGTTCAGATCACGACTGTCCCTTTGAATGTCGTGTTTTGTTTTGGGGGCTTTGCTTTGAGTAAAGCAGTGCTGATGTTTGCCTCTCACCAGGACGTGTGCTCTCATGTGCTCTCACTAATGATTTAAATCTGTAGTAATGACATCAAAAAGCTGCCTATAACTTCTTACATCTATAGCAAAAAGATGGCAGACAGTGAAACGACTGTGGAAGGATGATGAGTCATATATAGAGACTGTATATTAATGGCTGTCACACTCTGTGGCCGCCCAAACATGCACAGAAATAGCACAAAGTTTAGAATGTTTTCACTTTTAGTTTTGTTTATTTTAGCTTTTCAGAAATTCTTTTAACCTCCACACTTTACTTCCGCAACCAGTAAAACCAGTCAATAAAACACCCCATCTATAAAACCAGCCTACTGAGTACAGGATCCCACTGCCAAAAACAGATCCTGGGAAGAAGCCACAGTGGGTGTGGCACCACCAAACTGCAAGTCATGGTCTCACCAGAAATCCAACTAGCAATTTCCCCCCAGATAGGATCGACATGTCTAGCATTATAGGCAGCACTAGTGTCTCATTTGCAATCGCTTTAAGGAAGCACTGGTATAAAAACACCGTGTGTGCTTTCGATTTTTTCAGCGGTGAAGAATTTGTTTGTACAGACTGGTTTAAGGTTGGTTTCATGCTTGTCTTTGGACGGTGGGAGCCACACAGAAAGGAAAGAAAGGACCCATCAGGCTCATTGATTTGAACCCAGCACCTTCTTGTTTGGAAATACAACATTTCATCAGACCGGCGGTCACGCAGAGCTGAAATTCATCACTCAGAGTGGCACCGGCGCTCTGCTGTGACCGAGCGCTTGCTTTTAATCTACATCAGCTGAATCTAAAAACTAGACTAGTTAGTTTAATCTAGACCTGCAGATGCTAGCAGGCAGGGCATGCATGGAACGCTATAACCAAGGGGCCGGCATAGTGTACACAATCATCTGTGCCGAGTATGGCCTGGAAGTCCTGAGGTCAAAATGGGAGACGCCCCCGAGTAAGAGTGACAGCAAACGGAAAGGGTGAAGCGCTTTGAGTGGTCAGAAGAGTAGAAAAGCGCCATATAAGAACCAGTCCATTAACCATTTTACGGTGTCTGGACTCGGTGGAGACCTTCAAAAAGCTTGTAATCAGACCAGGGTTGATTTATTTAGAACTGCATTGTGATTTGTTGTCTGTGAAAAGTGCTGCATAAACACATGTTACATGTTACTTCCTGAAACCTCTGGAGCGTTCAGGCTATATTTTTACATCTCAGCTTTCTCATACAGTAAAAAGAGAAAAAGCCTCAGTGCTGTGCAGCCTACTGAGAGCGAGCATTTTTCTATGTCAGCTGTGACTCTTCTACTCTTCGTAGCCACGTTCATGGTTTAGAGCTTGACTGCTACCCTCTGCTAAAATCGCTTCACAATACTTTAAAAACATTGTCCAGAAAGAGTTTGCCTCTTATTACTGAGTGGGTGAACCCTTTTCTTAGAATTTCTTAACCAATTAATGCTGTAGCAGGAAAATACCCTCCTGATCCTTGCTTTGAGTTGTTTAGTGAGTGTGATGCTAGAATTGAAAGAGTGGTTTAGGAATCAGAGCAGGTCACTCTGAAGGGTGGTGGTTCGATTCCTGGCTGCATGGGTGCACTTACTAAAAGTCTCAAAAGAGTTCCAACCCCAGTGTTTGTGAAAATCACCTCCGACTGTCCAGTGCATGGAGGTGCAACAGGAGGTTGAGTAGCAGCACCAGTGGCCAGCAGTATTTTTCCCTTTCTGTGACCAGTTGCAACGTCTGGTGACTCGATGATTGCCCGGAGTTAGAGGCTGTTACACACTCAGCCTCTTTTGGTTCCTTGCTGGGAAGCAGCGTTGACTTGGACTGAATCCAATCACTCTCAGAGAGATTGTTTAAGATTTGCAAATAATTTCTATCAAATATACAAATTTAGATCGCCAGCATGTTGCCATCACTCTGAATAACCTTTGTCAGTGAGCACAACTTGAAGGGACTCTCTCACCCTGGATACACTCCCTTTGGTTTATGTAGACAGCAACACATTCAATCAGACTGACAGCAGGTTGATCGTCTCATCAGAGTCGAGTTAATCCTGCTTCCAGAGACGATTGCCAACTAGCAGTAATTTAAAGGATGGATCCAAAAAGGAAATGAGCTTTATGACAGGATGCTTCCTGTGATGAGAGATGTTTTATGAGAGGTTTAACTGATGTCTATTTTTTAATTTCACTGGACAAGCTATGCTTGCCATTGCACATTCACGGGCCTTTAAACCCAACCATCGAAACCTTAAAACCACATCTTTACCTTCAGACAGCAGTACCAGAAAAATCCT